GAGATAGTGAAAAGCGAGTCGCTGTAGGAGATTTTAAACAGCCAGTCACTGTAGGAGACAGAGACCAAACAGCCACTATGGGAGATGGCGAAAAGCCAGTCACTGTGGGAGATGGTGAACAACGAGTCACTGTGGGTGATGACGAACAGGCAGTCGCTGTAGGAGATAGCAGACAACTAGTCCCTGTGGGAGATAGAGAACTACCAGCCACTATGGGACATAGTGGACAGCCAGTCGCTATGGCAGATGGTAAACATCCAGTTACTGCGGGAGATGACAAACAGCCAGTCATTGTAGGCGATGTCAAACAGCCAGTCACTGTGGGAGATGGCGAACAGCCAGTCGCTGTGGGAGATGGTGAACAGCCAATCACTGTGGGAGATGGCGAACAGTCAGTCAATGTGGGAAATGATGAACAGCCAGTCACAGTGGGAGATGATGAACAGCCAGTCACTGTGGGAGATGGCGAACAGCCAGTCACTATGGGAGATGGTGAACAGCCAGTCAATGTGGGAGATGATGAACAGCTAGTCACTGTGGGAAATGGCGAACAGCCAGTCACTGTGAGAAATGGTAAACAACAAGTCACTTTGGGAGATGGTAAACAAACAGTCACTGTGAGCGATAGTGAACAACCAGTCACTGTGGGAGATGGCAAACAGCCAGTCACTGTGGGAGATGGTGACCAGCCAGTCACCTTGGGAGATGGTAAACAGACAGTTACTGTGGGAGATCGTGAACAACCAATCACTGTGGGTGATGGCGAACAGCCAGTCCCTGTAAGAGATGACGAAAAGCAAGTCGTTGTGGGAGATTGTAAACAGCCAGTCACTGTGGAAGATAGAGGACAACCAGCCACTATGGGAGATGGCGAACAGCCAGTCACTGTAGAAGATGATGAGCAGCCAGTCGCTATGGAAGATGGCGACAAGCCAGTCACTGAAGGAGATGGTAAACAACCAGTCACTGTAGGAGATGGCGCACACCCGGTCACTGTGGGAGATAGCAAACTGCCAGTCACTGTGGGAGATGGTGAACAGCCTCTCACTGTGGGAGATAGCGAACAACAAAGTACTGTAGGAGATGGCAAGCAGCCAGTCACTATGGGAGATGGTAAACCGCTAGTCACTGTGGGAGATGGTGAACAGCCAGTCACAGTGGGAGATGGCATGCAGCCAGCCACTATGGGACATGGCGAACAGCCAATCGCTATGACAGATGGCGAACAGCCAGTTACTGCGGGAGATGGTAAACAGCCAGTCACTGTGGTAGATGGTAAACAGTCAATCACTGTGGGAAATAGTGAAAAGCAAGTCGCTGTAGGAGAATGTAAACAGCCAGTCACTGTGGGAGATAGAGAACAAACAGCCACTATGGGAGATGGCGAAAAGCCAGTCACTGTAGCAGATGATGAGCCGCCTGTCACTATGGCAGATGGCGAAAATCCAGTCACTGAGGGAGATGGTAAACAGCCTGTCACTGTGAGAAATGGTAAACAACAAGTCAATTTTGTAGATGGTAAACAAACAGTCACTGTGAAAGATGGTAAACAGCCAGTCACTGAGGGAGATGGGGAACAGCCAGTCGCTGTGGAAGATGGTGACCAGCCAGTCACTTTGGGAGATGGTAAACAGCCAGTCACTGAGGGAGATGGGGAACAGCCAGTCACTGTGGACGATGGTGACCAGCCAGTCACTTTGGGAGATGGTAAACAGGCAGTCACTGTGGGAGATCGTGAACAACCAATCACTGTGGGTGATGGCGAACAACCAGTCAATGTAGGAAATAGCAAACAGCCAGTCCCTGTAGGAGATGGCGAAAAGCAAGTCGTTGTGGGAGATTGTAAACAGCCAGTCACTGTGGAAGATAGAGGACAACCAGCCACTATGGGAGATGGCGAACAGCCAGTCACTGTAGAAGATGATGAGCAGCCAGTCGCTATGGCAGATGGCAACAAGCCAGTCACTGAAGGAAATGGTAAACAACCAGTCACTGTAGGAGATGGCGAACAACCGGTCACTGTGGGAGATAGCAAACAGCCAGTCACTGTGGGAGATGGTGAACAGCCTCTCACTGTGGAAGATAGTGAACAAACAGGTACTGTGGAAGATGGTAAACAGCCAGCCACTCTGGGAGATGATGAACAGCCAGTCGCTGTAGGAGATGGTGAACAGCCAGACACTGTGAAAGATGGTAAACAGCCAGTCACTGAGGGAGATGGTAAACAGCCAGTCACTGTGGAAGATGGTAAGCAGCCAGTCACTGTGGGAGATGGCAAACAACCAGTCACTGTAGGAGATAGCAAAGAGTCAGTCAATGAGGGAGATGTTGAACAGCCAGTAACTGTGGGAGATGGTGATCAACTGGAAAGTAGCCAGCCTTCTTCTTCTAGAACAACACAATGTGAGTTTTAAATTAATATTAAGTTAATAATAATAATATCTTTATTACCAAACTAAGCTAGATATGTATATTAATACATCTAGGACTTCGCAGGTACTTCACATGATATGTTCCACGTAAATCTGTAGTAGCTTTATCAACTGACTGTTGTTTTGATTGGTTACATGCAAATGAGAACAATTTGAAATAGTCAGTGCAACATATTTTATTTTCCAAGAACCAGGTAGCATCCAATAATGGTTTACATTCATCTCATTAGTGAGTAGAAATGACAACTAACACAATTTATTTACTAATTATTTTCAATGATAGATAATCATTCGCCAGAAACAAAATATAGTGTCAGAGATGGTGATAAGACTGTGGAATATGATGAACCGCGAGTAATTGGGAGAGAATCTGAACATCCAGCCACTTTGGAAGATAACATTACTGCAAGGAAAGAGGAGCAGCTAGGGGTATTTCTTTTCTCTTAGACTTTTGCTATAGAGAAAGGAACATATTGAATTAGTTCCATGCACCATTTTCCATTTAAGGTGTTTAAAAATTAGATCACTTTAAAAAAACTTCTATCAAACTGTTGCCATTAATGCAACTTTTGCACATATATCTGTAAATTATAGCAATATGCCATGGATATTGTACAATTGCATACTAAAAGATCTGAGCACGTCCACTAAATTCAATAAAATAAACTGGTCCAGAAAATTCTGGAATCATCATTATGCTTTTATTATTTTTTTAAAATGCATCAAAGAATGCATATTTTCTGTTTGAAAGGATATCTCTGTAATGTATGTATTTTAATGTCCCAACTACCCGTCTGGTCAAGATATGATAACACAGATTTCCCCTGTTCCTCTCTAGATAACAGAGAAACACTCTCTCCAACTTTTTACACTTTAAAAATATATAACACTCTAACTGAACACAAAATGCTCGTCTTATTCGTCAGAATGTCATTTGTTGTTTGGTACGTCACCAAAATTAGTGTCGCTGGTCAACACATTTTAGATTGGTGGAAGATTTCACCATGCTCATGTTTGATGACTACTACTACAAAATAAGGTCATCTAAATTCGTCCACTTGATATTGCAATATATATTGCAATGCACACTAAACTGGAAGGCGGGTTGATGCAAAAACTGATGTGAACTTCACTATGCCACACTAACTACCTTGTCCAAATGTAACTCGAAATATAATGTAATAAATGCAGACATGCATAATTTTAATATGAATCTTATGAACAATGCTGAAATGTGTACAATGTTTTGCAAACAATTCTGTGCTGTAAAACAAGAACGTGGAACCCTATTCGTTTAAAAGAAATCCAGCAAATTAAACCAATTGTTAAGGTTCATTTATTTATTGAACAAAAGAGCAAACTTTCATAACTAGCACTATGTACTGGATCTGCTTGACCAGAAAATCTTCAATATGCGGATCTACTAACAATGTCAATTTATGTACTAATATGTACTTATGTGGAAATAACTGAATACCATAACAATAGTACAATAATTCAAATTATGAAGTTAATTTATTCACATATTATGAATGTGAGGTTAACATTATTGACTACATGCAGATGGATAGTAGGATTCGGGAATTAGGTATTCAGACTCTTATAGAAGATATCATTTATATACAGCAATCGTCACGTTGTGAAATTGGGAATATGGGAACAAAAGTCGTTTGCACTGGTGGCGTTGAGTTAGGAGTTCAATTTTTTATTCGGTCAAGAGAAAATGGAGCCCCTTCCAAAGCTGAGAGAATTGAAAAGCATGTCATAAAGGTTAGTTTGTATTAAAAACATTAATATATGTACGTACATAGTTTACATCAATACTGACTCCCGATTTTTCATTGTTTACTGTTACTGCGAGTCATGGTGTTCTACGTCTGATGACTGTTTCTATGTCTGACTGATAAGAGTCATCTGTTTCTATGTCTGACTGACAAGAGTCATCTATCTGTTTCTATGTCTGACTGACAAGAGTCATCTGTTTCCATGTCCGACTAATAAGAGTCATATGTTTCTATGTCTGACTGACAAGATTCATCGTTTCTGTGTCTGACTGACAAGAGGACATATGAGAAAGAGATACTCAATTGTGTATTCGTGGAGGGGATTATTCCTTTTGAATTTCTTGACTAAATAAAATAAACGCCTATTTAGATAATCATGGTACAATTTCCCTACTGACTATGGCATTCGGAGCAGTTTTGTCAAATGTTGTTATTGTTCAAATGTCCAAATCTATGGTTTTATGGTACAGAAGGAACAACTGAGATATCATGCAGGAAAACGGAACCTTCTAAGGTGACCTTTTTGGCATTGAGCTCTATTCCCTACTCCTGGGTGGTCTTCGCATTGTACTCTTTGCTAGGGAGTAGAACATCACCAGCAGTTCAATGTTCCAATGTTATTTGAAAACTGATAGGTCATGCTAAGAAGATCAAATTTACATTCTTACTCCAAGCAATGTTCAATGCCCTGGAATCGTTTTAACATGTATTATAGTAAAATAGTTAACACGTTTAAGAGTAGTGAGGATCAGCTGCCTTAAATAAGGCTAAGGTTTTGGTTATAATTAATGCTATTCTTGCCTTATTTACAAATAAAAGTAGTTGTTAGAGACGGGTTAATATGCAAACAACGAATGGATATGTTTTAGTCAGAAGATCATTAATAAGTCAGATGCTTCAGTCGGCACACTTTTTTCGAGAATCTATGTAAATAAGAAAGATCTGGCAACGTGAAAGTGACACAAAGAAAAATCGCAGAGATTAAAATAATTGTGGATAGTCAATATCTGCGGCATAAATACTGAGATCAAGAATGATGTCCCATTTTAGCACTGTTGTTAACACGATCACATTGTGGGACTCGATATGGCAACCACAGTGTTTGAAAGTATCAGTAATGACTCAAAATTAATAGTACGTGTTACCACATGGTGCCTTAGAAACCCAATAAAAAAGAGACATCTAGGACCACAGCCAAACACCTGTTTCAGGCCATGGTTGCAACAATGATATTAGGTTGAGAATAATACCCTACCTAACACTGCACTGTCCTTGATCTGCTTGGCAATTTGAAGAACGATAAAAAGAAAAATTGAAGAAAAATAACATTGCCTCATTGGTCCACGCTTATAATTGCATGGTAGCTTTTGATGTTCACTTCACTATTTAGTGTTTGACAAGATTAATGTCGTGAGTACATGGATATTCAGTCTGAATGTCACAAGAGAGTTTGTCTAAAATTTGCCTATATGCGTAAGCATCATAGCTGCCAACATGAGTGCTAAAGAGGAAAACAGTTATAATCAGCGGGTACATGACAATTTGTCGAAAAAATATGTAACCTTAAGAAAGTGAAGCTTTACTGGGTAGTAACAATATAATATAATGGAGGCATCATAGTATAGGCTTGCACTCTAGACTGACATTATTAGGATTGTTCTTGGCTTTGATATGGGAATGTTAATTTACATCTACTACCTTTACGGAGGTAAGGAGGAGAGTTGAATTGACCAAGTAATGTGCAGCACCTTGATCATGATTTGGGCATTATATTTGTATTGGTCGGAAGTCAATGATACACGTGTTGTGTGCCAGTTTTTGAATGGAGAAATTGGACAAAAACACATTGTGCAAATTTGAATGAACTAAACCTATATATCCAGGACCTGATTTAATGAGTGTTTTTTCAAGAGGCGAGTTGGGCATACAATTCATTTGAGTTTAATGAAGTATTGGCAAATATTAATACTAAGATTAGTACATTTGAGCTGCATATATGCATTCATAATGAGGTAGATGACCCTTTCCATAATGCCTCACCATTGGTACACTGGATACAAGGGTGGGTAAATATAATTGCTGCTTAAGGTCAACTTCTACATTCCTGGTTGCAACCAACAGTTCTTATTGTATATGTGTCGCTCATCTTCATGTTTCTGCCACTGCATAAATCATTGACAAACCTGTATACCAGCAAAACACCTTACCTTGCACTACTGATGCAACGGATCAATCCTTGTAGTATCATTCCATATTCTGTTTTTCTGAGTACTGTATAACTTTCCCATAGTCATATCCCTTAATCAATGTTATTCATTACAACCTCTAAGGTGGTTAAAATCACTGGTAATGTGTCAATCCGAGCATCATTGTTTGCCAAATTTGATTGTTCTTGAGAATGCATTTCAATTCTACATGTTTGTTCATTGTGTTAATTTGCAATGTATAAACTCTATGTATATATGTACACTTGTTAGATCAATGATGAACCTGTACAAAGTATATCCTTTACTGAAGCCAAAGCTATATTAGAAAGTTCGGAAAAACCTTTGTCCTTGGTCTTCAAGAATGAAGTGAAAATTGCAGAACAGAGTATCCTACTTGGTGACATTGATCGACAATATATGATAAATGATAAAAGGTACGTATTCAATCTAATTTTATGAGTGGAATTCACCTTCTTCTTAACAATCCCGTCAATATTCAAAAGAGTTTAATCTTTCTTCTTGTTTTCAACAGGACCAAATCAGTTATTAGTCATGCACTCATAGTTGGGCATGAATGGTGGCCACACAATAGTGATATTTCTCTTGCACTCATTCAAAGAGACATAGCAACTACATTGTCTAAAGAGATAAGTACAGTGCACTGCATGGTTTTGGCAGCTACAGATGAAGAAATCGCAGATGCTAGACGTTTTGGGATACAGCTGGTCCTACCAATGCCACAGAGTCATTTGGAACATGAATCACCCACTAATAGCTGGTTGGTGCATCCGGAATCCTACTTTCCTCACCTAAAAGAAATGAAACATATCAAAATCATTGTTGGTCATGCTTGCAAAGATGGTACCGTGGATGCTGCAAGATGTATTCAGCGTAATGTATTTCCAAGTGCCAAACTTGCAATCTTCAACCACTTCATCCCAGAAGATACAACAGCAAAACCTTGTGAACTACAAACATTATACAATAAAGTAGAGGAATATGCTAAATATTCAGACATAACAGTATCAATTGGTTCAAGAGTATATCGTCATTTTGTAAACAAATACCGAGCTGTTTCTGACACACCACATTACCTATACTATCCAGGTATTCACGAAATATTTTTGGATTGTAAAATTAAGGAACCAGATGATAGCCATGACATTGAAGTTCTTTCTGTATACTCCTCTTCCGCATCTGAATCACTCCAAGATTATGACCCAGTCATCCGTGCCATGGGAGAAGTAGCTGATCATTTTCAAGACCAATGTCATTCTGTGCCTTCTTGGAAATTTCGTAAGGAGGATGTATCTACAGAAGATAGGAACTATCTAGAAAACAAAGCAAAATCGACCAACCTCAAAATCAATCTGTATCCCAAAGGCTCTATTTCTGACATTAGCACAGATTTCAAGCAGTGTCATCTTGTGGTACATGGTCCCAAAAGTGACCCATTCGGTGTTGTAAGCCTAGCTGCTATGGCAGTTGGAGTTCCCACACTTGTCAGTAAAGAGACCGGCATTGCATATTTTATTAAAGAAAATCTTCCAACATTTTCTGATATTGTTGTTGATGTTGGCCAACGTGAGGATGAAACCAAAGCGGTAAACGAATGGAAAATGAGGTTGCTGAAAATTCTAAACCAAAAGAAATTTCCCAGAATCTTTGAACGAGCAAAAAGGCTTAGCAAAGAAATGAAGAAGTGCACTCGGGATGTCATATCTAAAACGCACAACAGACTCCAGAGTTGGTGCCAAAGTGTTGTAAGTGACCCAGCAGCACAAAGTAAGTTCAATACAGATACTGTCCATTTGTAAAGATGCATTTACAGCATCTAAACATACATTAACTATCTTATAATTCGTGTTTTAGGTCAAGCGCCATTATTCACTGATCGAAAGAATACTGCATTAGACAAAGAAGAAATAATGGATGCGGTTACCCTGATAGGTGATGAAGTGTCACTTAATGATGTTTGTCGTGAAAAAGGACTGAAAACGCCAACTAGTAAGTAGACATTGATATTGTGTAGCATGTAAGATTCAGTGAATGAATGAATGAATGAATGAATGAATGAATGACAAACCCTGTTGTATTATAAAAGTTGTACCACTGGCCACTGTGTCCTGGCCACGTGTTTATCACTGTTACAGAAATGTTCGTACTGTATGCTTTATTTTCTGTAACCAACTATTTTCTTCATTATGAACTGTCCGATTTACTGGTAAATTCAATTTTTCCTTTGTGGAAAACTGCTTTAGAGCTAATTAGTTCTGGAGTGGTCATTATACTGACTGATCTGAGAGATTCGTGAGGAAACATTTCTGTGATGCATGTATGCCATTTACATCTGATGCGTTTTTTGCTCATCTTCCCGTTGACCATCTGTACTAAAGTAATTATATAATATAAACATATACTCAACAACTATAACAGGGTTTGTAGAAAATCTCTCTTAATCAATGATAAAAACAAATAAAAAGTCACCAAATTCATAGCATAACTGAAAACATAGAATGATTAAGATTTACCAAATTTAATCATATTGTTTTACCACAAAATGTATGATGATTAATTTCAGTAAACTCTTTATACTCAAGTTATCTATTAATAGTAAATTCGCATGACTCTTTGTCTTCATGCCGATTCCAAACTGTTTTGGCTGTATTCATATCAGAGTGTAAATCACTACAGTTGTATTCATATCGCTACAGTTAGCTGTTCATAACTTGTAATTCGGCACTGTAATAACTACATAACTGTACATAATATATTGCATATTGTGAACCCGACCTCGCAACTGCACATGCTGAATTTTCAAAGTTATAGTTTTCATTGTGGTCTTTTATAGTTATTCAAGTTTATCTTTCAAAACATACACAATTATTTGGGTTGGCATCTTTGAAAAAGTTAAACAATAAGCACTTGTTGATTTTCTTATACTGAATACATGAATTTGTTTCATCAACTACCAGTAAACAATCTCTTGCTTTGCAGCATTTTGTCTTCAGATTCGAGTAGACCTCGAACAACCAAACCAAGACAAGATTAAAGCAAACACATTGAAGGAAGCACTGGACAAGTATCATGATATCATTCATGATCTTTGCACTGCTGATAGCATTAGAAGGCAACAATTGAAGACGCTCTTAAAACAACAGTATAACGCAATATTGACAATGGTTGACCATGGTTCTTTGTTGCTGAATCTTCTCTTTTTGTCTGTGGAAGATAAAGATTATTTTCAACATCAGTGCGAGACCGGTGAAGTGAAAAATGTGATATCTGGTATCCTTATCACACAAGCAATGCGGCAAATCTTTGATGATGCTGATGTTTCTGCAACCATCAGTGTAAACATCTTGCATTCAAATGAAATTATTTCAGTAAATAATACAAAAGGTATGGCGAATTAATATTGATTCGTATTTTTGCACTGATTAAAAAGAAACCATACGTGCACACTTTATGAAAATATGAGAGATGGATCAACAACAGGCCATTATCTCCCAGGGAAGATATCAAAATGTTACACGAATTGTATCAAGTCAAAGTATAAACATACAAGTACAAATAAATAGTAATATAAGATAACATCATGTTACTTCTTGTGTCAGCTTTAATAACACATTCATTTCTTGCAGAACATGGTAATGTGTATCCTACAGACGTTCCTGAAACGACAACTGCATTTTCTGGTTACTATGCTGTCCATACAAGTACGTTGAAATTAATGCATTGCCATATGTAGCATATTCTTACATGTTTTGATAAACATAAACATAAACATTCCTAACATTTTACAATGTACATGTGACACATCATTTATCGTTGTTTTCAGATGAGATTGAATTTCAAGTCCGAGTTGGGTCGTATGTTTCAATTGAGAATGAAGAACATGGTATGACAAAAGGAACACTGCCTGTCTTCAAAAATATTCAATCCATAGGTGACCTTTCATCCGTAATGAAATATTTCAAAAGAGGGAATGGTTACAGTGTCAACAATTTCACTGTAACCAATCATTCACTAAGACTTGTGATTGAATGTTCAAACTCCAAGGCATTTAGTTTGTTATGGAATTCATATAAAGAGGGAAACATCAATAGATTATTCCAGAACGACATTGTGACAAGCAATGTTATCGAAGATTTAGGTGCAATAGAAATTGTATTGGAGACAAGTGTTGAAACATGGAATTACGAAAGATGTATTTCCAAATTTGGCATTCCTGACCTAAATGGTGAGTTTTATACCATGGGTATAGTATAGTATAGTTTTTATTATGTGAATGAATTTATCTTTATATAACCTTGAATTTATTACTCATACTAGATATTAATGCTTTTTAGTGTAGTATACAATTCAAGAAAACTAAACAATCATCAGCTGATATTGGACTTTGTTTAAAAAACAAAGACTAACTACAATTATCTTAGTAGATGTGAGTGATTTGAGTTCAAGAAAGGCAGGTGAAGATAGTAAAGAAATGAGGTTGTCAACCGACAAAGAAATTTCACATCAAGACAATTTTGAAAAAGAGGTATATATAATATTACATTCTTAATACATTTTAATTATCGTGTACAAATTGCCCACACTTAACTTTTACTGACAAAGGATCATTGTATGTAATCACTTTTCAGAAAATGGCATATTTTAAAACCTGGTTTAAAATCATTAATATTTTAGCGTAAATTTGAATAACACACACGACTACACAAATTTTTAATTTTACTCTGATCGTACACTTATTAAATGTCACGACATTTTTCTCTTTAGGTCTACAATACAAATGATTAAATGAATATCGCAACACTACCTGACAAAGAAATATCTATACCTCGGAAAAGCCACTTCTAATGAACCATAGAAAAAGGAGAAAACAACCATGACAAATTCAACAAATACATTTGAAAATTCACGTATTCTATGTCTTTACATATATGGAAGATGAACATTAAACGTTATTAATTGTTTAACAGATATATGATGTACCACTTCTTCATGATGCTGCGGTAAATGATGATGTTGAATTAGTACAAGATATACTACATTCTGGGGCAAATGTAAATGAGCTATCAATGGTATGTGTTACATCACACACTAATCGACTCCAAAATCATTATTTCAGCCATTATTTTCTATTATTACTTCAAATATCTGACTATTTTCTTTCAATTTACTGTCAAAGCAGCATTATACTCCTAACATAAAATTTCTCAGACTTGAATTATTATTGACAAATTTGAATGCACTGACACGAAAACAGAAGTATTTTGCTTACTTGTATGCTAAATTCATGGCAAATTGTGATACTTGTTCATTTCTAGCTAACTAATTGGTCAAATTGGTTATGTATGTATAATCAAGCTTTGTTTTCAGCAAAATTTTATTTCATAAGAGTTTTAAAGTCTATGAGATTGTAGAAATAACGTTATGACAATGTTTTTTTCTTGTCTTCAATAAATGTGAACAACTAGGATGGTAGAACTGCACTTCATGTCTCATCTGAAGCTGGATGTATCAACGTTGCAAGATTCCTACTTCACCATGGAATTATTTGGGAGGCTATTGATAAGGTATGTCACATGAGCATGTGTTTGAACATAGCAACTCTTGTATATTGACATTAATATAATTGAAACTTATTTTCAACTCAGTGGAGCGTCCCTCAAAGTGTAGGTACTTGGGAACCTGGGACAATCTGTTCAAAATACTTGCACCATGGTGACTCACTTTACCAGCGTGGTAATATAGGCAAAACAATGTATTTTTTTTATAGACTGGCAGAGACTGTAGTTCCATGGTTCATGGATTTTACCTTATAGCTGGCAATTCACTGTCCAATGCATTGTTCTATTAGCAGTCCCTAATAATGTTATTGGTTAGTAGGGTAAACTTGTATAGCAACACCAAGATCAGATAAAGGTCATCTGAAAGTCATAGTGGGTTGTTGCTATAGTTACTGCTTACAGCTTGCTGTTTCTCTCATTAACATATACATTATACTAAATGATAATCTAATTCAAGGTTGTAGATTTTTACTGCTTGTGAACACACATTTTAATATTGACCTTTGACATACTCGCTTTTAATAACCAGCAATAAAATAAATACCATTCACGAATTACTATATAACAAAACATATAGTATATTGGTAACTCAATGGGAACAAATCATTTCTCTTAACATATTGTTGGCCTTTGTTTTATATAGGATGGATATACAGCTCTGGATTTAGCAAACAATAGAGGTCATAGTGTAATTGCAAACATGATAGAAGAACAAGATAAATGTTCCCAGAATAGCCATGTCTCTAAAGATAATTCTGTTACACAGGTACATGGATAAAATGTGTAATAATTTTGTAACTTATGGGTGCATCCCTATTTACTAACTTACTACAGAAAACTATAGTAAGAAAATATCTGCATTCTCAGTCACAGCTTCACACTTAAAAAATCATAAACTGCGAAAAATATTTTTCTTTGTCCAGATACATAGGATTCCCTCACATGATGTAACTTCAGATAAACATTCGCAGCTGGAACAAGAATTTCTGATGTCCAGGGAAAGTACAAGATCTGTGGTGAGGATTTCTGCACATTAAAAATTGACTTGTGGACATACAATATCTGATATACAAAAGGTGTGTACATTTTCTTATCAATGTCGCTTTTGTCATTTTGGCAGAAATCAACTATTCCTTTACATGTGGCTGCCGAGGAAAATGATGCAGAATTGGTTTTGGCCCTATTAATGCCAGGCGAAGATGTTGATGTAAGATCTTCAGTAAGTAGAAATTATTGAAAAACAAATTACTGAATGGCATTCTCCGAAAAAACTTCTATCAAAATGTGTTTTCTATGTGTGTCTTGTGTGTAATTATTAGAAATACCCAGAGGAAGTGCAAGTTTACAGATATTTGGTCAGAGTAGAGTAAATTTCCCAAAGGAGCTAGATAGAGTGTTTTGTCATTTGCCCAAGAATAATTCATACAACTCAACATGTTTTTGTCAACGCCATATGTTACACAAAAAATATGCCACAGTTATATAGCTAAGACAGTGTCGGTTTAAAAAACATGTTACAATTATCTGTAACTAATACACTTATAAATAGACATGTGGAAAAAATGAACCACTTTCAGAAGTTTTACAAAATGCTAAGTTCAAAGAGATGTTTATTATTTACACACTATCAAAACTATTGTATTCACAGAATAGTGAAACTGCTCTTCATATTGCATCTTCATCGGGATCCCTTGATGCTGTACGAGTGTTAATTAATAATGGAGCTGGTAGACGCAGGTAAAAACATCAATGTATCTCACAAGTTAGAGGTGAAACACAGATTGCTAATATATAGTATTTATTTTATTATACATAATTATTTTCCTGTTTGTAGTAATAAGTTAATAACACCTAAACTGACAAAGAACTTGTTTCTTTGCTGTGTGAACGTTTGCGTTATGGGATTCTATTTCCATCACAAGGTATAGCAATCTTGTTGTCAATATTGAACGTGACGTCAATTGTTTTGAACTTGTCATCGTTAGTTGTTTACCCTAAATATGGGGGATTCTAATGTTCGTTCAGTGATAATACTGTATAATACTGTTTATCGTCTTCTGATTAATCACCTGGCTATTTTAATTTAGGAAGGCTGGAATGCTCTTCACATGGCAAGCTCAGCGGGACATGCTGAAGTTGTGAGGTTTCTTTTACAGTCTTCTGTTAAGAAGAATGTACACACCAAGGTAATATTTCATTATTTAATAATACTTGTATTTGTTTGATATCTCTGGCTGAACTTTTAGGTTTTTTACATAAATAAATAAATTATCAATTAACTATTATTAAATAAGTAAATGAGCTCAAATTATTCATTTGTTTTATGATTGCAGGATGGCGCAACAGCTCTTCACTGGGCAAGTTTTAATGGTCATATTGATGTAGTAAAAATTCTGTTAAATTCGCCCGTAATTAAAGATGCCAAGAGCAAGGTAAATGTGATATTTCATTATATTTATTGATATCACTTCGATTGTACATATTTGAGATTTTACACCGCAATCCCCGTAATACAGCATCGCATTCACGAGTGTTCTTGTACAGACGATTTAGCAGCAGATGTCAGTATTTATATTGGAACTAGATGCTCTGTCAGATCCATGCACGGAAACATTACTGTGCTCTTGGTTGTTGTTGTTGTTGTTGTTTGTTTTTTGGAGGGGGTCGTGCATAAAATCATGTCTAACAATGTGATTTTGTTGATTATAATTGCTTATGGCGTGTAGTAAACTATTTTAGTAACACGCTGTGTTATACATAGTTATTTGCGAGTTGTCACATAATAACATTAGTAGTGCATATATTTTGGACGTTTAACATACCATGTCATTCTGATTACAATTTAGGATGGTTTCACAGCTCTTCATGCAGCAAGTCAAAGTGGACAAGTTGAAATTGTAAAACTTTTACTAAATGCCTCCTTTGACAAGAATGCCAAAACTAAGGTAATATATTATTTGCATATTTATATTTGTGAAAAGCATGGCGAACTAATATCATACAATGATAACATATTTGTTTTACAGAAAGGACGTACAGCTCTTCATATAGCAACTCAGTGTGGGAGAATTGAGGTGGTGCGAGTTTTGTTAGCAGCATCAGTTAAAAGGAACGTTGGAGACCAGGTAAAGATTCAAATGACGATGTTGGTTACACTAAAAACAGAGTAGAGGTTATACATTTTTGTATAACCTCTATTTACGCTGTGTGGAAAATGCGGATGATTTCGCAGCAGCACATGTCGTTTCGGAGTCATCAAATATCAAGCCATATTTTACTGTATGATCAAAAGAATCGCATATCACATATATAATAACTATAAGATTTAGTGGTCAATATTTATTTCATACAACCGTGCATGTGATCTATTAACATTCCATTGCACATATACTCGAAACATATTAAGTATCTTCCAAAATCTTGTAAATGATTTCTTGTGAATGCTTCAGTCTAACAGTGTTTTTGTCGTTCAATATGCCAGATGCCAAAATAATAAGGCGTTTCTTGTTAAAATTTGTGATATTTCATTACATTGTCTAGGATGGTAACAATGTTACTTATGTACTTATGTTACTTTTTAGAGAGGTTGGACAGCCCTTCACGTAGCATGTCAAAGTGGACAAGTTGAAATTGTAAAACTTTTACTAGATGCCTCAATTGAAAGGAATGCCCAAACCGAGGTACAGTTTTATTCGTTATGATTGTAAAAGGCGTGTATAACTGATACCATAGCGACGTTATTTATAATTTTGTTTTACAGGAAGGGTTCACAGCTCTTCATATAGCAAGTCTATTTGGGAAAAGTGAGGTGGTCCGAATTTTGTTAGCAGCATCCGTTGAAAAAAACATTCAAGATCAGGTAAGGGAATAAGATGTATAATCCAACAGTTCATGGTCAATGATTGTATTAAAAATTCTTACACACCCACATTTAAAAAATGTATAAAGATTTAGTATGATGTTAGCTAGATATAAATGTGGCAATGGAAGCACTAACGATGTAATGGAATTAATGGAATATTGTCTTTACAAATAACATTGTGGAGAGTAGAATATTATTTATTTATTTATTTATTTATTTTAGTTGGATGGTTTCACATCGCTTCATTTGGCTGTTCAACGTGGTCATACTGATATTGTAGCAGCCTTACTGCATGCGTCAGTGAATACGGACACACAGACAAAGGTGGTTGTTGTATTCGATCATTGATAACAAAGGACATTTGTGTTATTTTCAGTTGATATAATGTTTGGTATAATGAATTATGTCTTTTTTAGTCTGGTTGGACACCTCTTCACACAGCATGTGAAAGTGGGAATTTTGCCATAGTGAAACTGCTTCTTGATGCGTCAGTTAAGATTGATGTCCGAGAAAAGGTATGCTAATTACACTGCAAATATAATGATAAATGTAATGATCTTGTTAAGTCAACATATTACAAATATATTCTATATTGTAATGTGCAGGAATGGTATACAGCACTTCATCTTGCTTGTCAAAATGGAAATGCAAATGTAGTAAGAACTCTATTAAATGCATCTGCTGACAAAAATGCAATTACAAAGGTAATAATATTTTTTACACCAGTCCTTATAATATAAACATGTTGTACATATTTAGTAGCAGTGGAGCTCGAAAAAAAGGAAGGTGATGACTTTTAAAATTTGCTAATCGTACTGGTGTATCAGTTAAGTTTAACCGTAATCACTTATTCAATTGTGTGTGCATTCAAAGTGTTTCCATTAATTTTAGAATGAATTTTTGACACCTCTTCATTTGGCAAGCAGCGGTGGACATATTGAAGTAGTAAAAATGCTACTAGATGAAGCGGTCAAGTTGAATCTTCAATCCAAGGTAATAATAACCGTAAAGCTGTAATTATAGAAATAGTACTAATAATTGAACTATATTATATAATTTCATTTGGATCAATGAAAACATTGTTTTGTTTTTGTTTCCAGAGGGGTGGTACAGCTTTTCATATGGCGTGTCTACATGGACATGTTCCAGTGGTTAAAGTGCTTTTGGATGCATCAGCTGAGAAAAATGGCCAAATAAAGGTATTTAATTTGAATACTGCAGCAATGTAGTAACTTAAAGTTGTGCGTGTTTTTGTATTAATGTAGATTTATTTCATTTATATGACAGACGAACGGTTCAACTGGTCTTCATTTGGCTAGCCATCGTGGACATGTTAATGTTGTGAAATTGCTGCTGAATGCATCAATTAACACGGAAATTAGGACTAAGGTAAAAGCTTTGGTTATATATTAAAGCCCTATGTCACCTGGGTTGATAAGATAATTCGTGTTAGCAAGACAGGAAAGTTTTTCCTAATTTGCATTTCCAAACATACATTTTATGCACTTTATACAGTTAGGACACACAGCCCTTCATCTAGCTTGTAAGCAAGGCCATGTAAAAGTCGTGAGTACCTTGCTGGATGCTAATGTTGAGAAGGAAAGAACCACTGAGGTAATTAAATTGATTTTATATTAGAACTCTTGATGCTGTGACATGTTGATGACTTATTTGACTCTGGAGGCTTGGTCTACGAGCCACATGGTACTGTTCGAACCATAGTGTTATGTAAAAGAGTAAATTTCACCAGATAGAATGCAAAACTATTCATATAATATTTTGTCTTGGCTATGTATATTAAATACTTTTGCAGGATGGTTGGACAGGTCTACACTTTGCATGTAAACATGGGCATGCTGCCATAGTGAAAGTTCTACTGGATGCAACTGCTGAAAAGGATGCAAAGACTAGGGTGAGTCTTCTGATAATTTATTGAAACGCTTGTTTTAAAATTGTTGTATTTATGGTATTCATATTGGTAGTTCAGTCCAGGAACGCACAATGTACTGTTTCGGTCATTGTATGAGTTATGTATATACATTGATAGTGGCTGGAACAAAAAATATATTGCACTCGTATATTTTACCGAACTGTTCACTTTAAATCATACAATTGTGTGGGGTATTTTGCAGGAAGGTCGGACACCTCTTCATATGGCGAGTAAGTTTGGTCATCCTGATGTAGTGAGAGTTCTGCTCGATGCATCCATAAATACGAATATTCCAGACATGGTAACTAAACATTCACACATTGCTTGAACGTTTAAACTTTCCGTTCACCATCATATCACTTCATGCATATTTATACTATGTATTCCTATGTAGAAATAGTCAGTGGGCACAAACTGGGCTAATTATTTATACATTCCCTTATTTTCACACTATATAAACAGTGTAAATGTATTTATCGTAAAATCGTATGGTATCGTATGGTACAAATACACGACGAGGAAAGTGTAAATATTTATGTACAATTTTTTTTTAATTTTAGTTTGGTTACACCGGATTGCATTATGCATGCCAATTTGGACATGTTGATATTGTCAGAATATTAGTGAATAATGCATCAGTTAATAAAGATGCGAAAAGCAAGGTCAGTATTAAATGATCGCCAAATAGGATATAACATAAGTAGTTAAATTACAATGAATGGAGGAGATAATTGTTGCATCTACTTATTTTACAGGATGGCGGATCTCCTCTTTATTTGGCTAGTTTATATGGACATGTTGAGGTCGTGCGCGTGTTACTGCGTGCCTTGGTTAATAAAGATGCACAAACTAAGGTAATTATTTGATAAATAGAATCACATGAGTCTCAAAAAATAAATATAAGTGTGTAATATGTTATATTTTTTTTGTAGGACGGTTGGACAGCACTTCATGTGGCAAGTGATAATGGATATATTAGTATTGTTCGAATTCTACTAGATGCATCAGTGAACACAGAAGCTTATAGCAGGGTATTTTGCCATACGTTATCATTTCGTAAGAAGTGCACCTTGATATGATGATACTTGTTATCTATAATGACTAAGACGTATTCATTAGATATTGTTTTGTTTGTAATTTTTAATTTAGAAAGATACCATAGGAGCACTCCATTGTGCAAGCAAAAGTGGACATGTTGATGTAGTAAAACTTCTACTGGAGGCGCCAGTTGAAAAAGAAGCACAATCGAAGGTACTAAAATTACTATTTAAACACTGAGTAGCGTGTATATAAATAGCTGTGGGTATATGGTATTTAAGAACGTTTTTGTAATGCAGACGTTTACGCATGATTCATACTTTAGGTTTGGCGTGTTTTCAACTTTAGAAGAGAATTGTAGGGATTTACTAATTCTTCTTATGCAAGAAAACCGTTGGCCATATAGATAAGTTTTCAAGATTCGGAAAAACTTGCCTCTGTCTACTCTCCCAAATTCGCAATTTTATTTACATTATTTCATTGATGGTTTATCTTCGACTACTGGCTGTATCTTTTAACTCGTGCAACACGAGCTGCTGCTGTATTGTGACATAAAAAGTCATATATTCAATATGTGTACAAATAAAAAGCAACCCTTACTTTTCCAGGATGGTTTGACATCGCTTCACTTTGCTAGTAAATATGGATGCACTGAAGTAGTTAAAGTGCTGCTGAATGCACATGTTAATAAAAATGCAGAAAGTAAGGTAAATTAACAATACATTTTACACATATATTTAGAGAAACATACTCTCTGTATATGGAATTCATATTATAAAATTTTGTGTATTGTAGGATAAATGGACATCACTGCATTTTGCTGCTGCCTATGGACATGCAAATGTGGTGGAGATTCTTTTGAATGCTGGGGTAGAAAAGGATAACAAAACTCAGGTAATATGAAAGTAATCCTGAAAAAAGCAATGTTGATGTATCTATATTGACCATATGATAGATGATATTATTTTTTTTTCTAGAACGATCAAACAGCACTTCACTTTGCCAGTTATCATGGGCACAGTCATATAGTGAAAATGCTGCTGCGTGCATCTGTTGAGAAGGATGTCATAACCACGGTAGTATAGATTACATTGTGTTTTATGATAACCTGTTCATTCAAAGATGTGTTGAAACATATATAAAAACATGACATTCTATCAAAATTATTTCTATATCTAAATTCTTATTTTACTAATAGAGCCCAAACGCACATGGTCCCACATAATATTTTTTCAAACGGAATACAACTCGCATTCTAAAATCGTCAAAATCACTGGACCAGATGAAAAACAACAATATATGGTCAAATCTATGAGAGAAAGGACCATGGACTCCAACGTAACTAAGATGTGGTACCAGATATCTAAACATATGCCTTTCTACTGTCACAACAATTATTGTATTTGCAAATTATTTTTACAGAATGGTATGACATCTCTTCTTTTAGCAAGTCAGAATGGACATGTTGATGTGGTGAGATTACTACTAGGTGCATCAGTCCAGACATCACTACAAGATAAGGTAATATGATTATTTGCGTGTGATTTATTTTATTATTGGCAAAACAGTATCAATCTTTCTTTCACTTTATAATTTAAATATATTTCAGTACGAGCAAACAGCAGTTCATATGGCTAGTGCTAGTGGGTATGATGATATTGTCAAAACTCTACTAGAGGCAAGACATGATAAGAATTCCCGAGATAAGGCATTACGACTGTTTGGGTAGTTCTAATCGAACAAGTCACCAAAATGAATCGAATGTATATGCAGATGCAGACCAAATGTGTATATTGTATTCCCTAATATATTTTATACTTTTCAGTATGGTGCTACTGCTCTTCACTTGGCAAGTCAAAAAGGGCATGCTAAAGTGGTTCAAATTCTTCTTGGTTCATCATTTGAGAATAATGCCCAAGATAAGGTATACTTATTTCTTATTTTGTTCTATCACTTTGAGGCACTAACAGTTTTCATTATCTTATCAAGTAGGGCAAACTCAATCACATTATAGAATGTTGATGTATATTGTTATATACTACCAAATAAGGCACAGCCAAGACCAAGTAAATAACTTACAACTATTTTTTCCAGGATGGTTTAACATCACTTCACTATGCTAGTAGATATGGACATGCAGATGTAGTTAGGATGCTGTTGAATGTACCAGTTAATAAAGATGCAAACACAAAGGTAAATCATGCATTTCTTTTACATATATTTGAGAAATATACTATCTATAGATGGAATTCATATTATCATATTTTGTGTATTGTAGGATAAATGGACATCTCTCCATTTTGCTGCTGCCTATGGACATGTCAATGTGGTGGAGATTCTTTTGAAAGCTAGGGTACAACTGAATACCCAAACTGAGGTAATATGACTGTGTCGGTGGTCATAAAAACAAAAGTATTGTTTATGTTTCTTTATAAATCGACTATGGGATAAATAATTGTATATATTTTGTTTTCTAGCTTGGCCAAACTGCGCTCCATTTTGCTAGTTATCATGGGCATGGTGATATAGTGGAAATCTTGCTGCGTGCACCTGTTGATAAAGATATCATGACCATGGTAGTATTGATTGAATTGTATTTTACGATAGCCATCCCATTCAAAGAACTAGTAAAATATATAAGGAGCATGCAAATTCACCAGAAATGTTTTTATATTCTAATTCATAATATGCAAATGGGTCTAAGAACAGATGATAAAACAATACAATTTCACAAGCATAATAAAAGCCACAAATTACTATTACAGGATGGAGTAACATCTCTTCATTTAGCAAGTCAGAATGGACATGTTGATGTTGTAAAATTACTGCTAAGTGCATCAGTCCAAACATCAGTGCAAAATAAGGTAATATTATATTTTTTAATATGTTTGCATGAGATTTATTTAATGATTTATATTCATACAATATCTTATCATATTTGAATATTTTTCAGAATGGTTTGACGGCACTTCATATGGCAAGTTATAATGGGTATGATGAAGTGGTCAAATCCCTACTGGAGGTAACACAGGATAAGAATTCTCGAGATAAGGTATTGGAAACTGTTTTGTTTGTTCTAATTAAGTAAGTCACAAATATATATCGATTGTAAGTGCAGACGCTGTCGTGATATGTATTGTATTGCTAATACATTTTATATTATATAGTATGGTGGTACAGCTCTTCATGCGGCATGTCGAAATGGGCAAAGCAAAGTGGCTAGAATTCTACTTGATTCTTCATTTGAAAAGAACGCCTTAGATAAGGTATTTAAACTGTGTTGCCTTTTACTAATGAATACAGTACACGCGATATAGATTTAATACACTAGGTCAGTGATCCCAGTTTTCTATCCATCTGTCCCTTAATGGTTTCTTCTAATTGCTTTGATAGTTTGACCACGATGTGGTCAAAACCACTCTAAATGTACCTCGAGATAAGAAGGTTTGAGATAAGTGATTGGAAACTATTTTCGATTGTTTTGATGAGTCAGTCGTAAAAATAAAAATAAAGTGTATATGTGTATATAACTAAAATATTTTATATTTTACAGTGTGGCGCCACCGCCCTTCATCTGGCAAGTCAACACGGGCATGGTGAATTGGTTAGAATCCTACTTGATTCATCATTTCAGAAGAATGCTATAGACAAGGTATTTAAACTATGTTATATAACACAACAAATATAGTAACCCCCAGCGAGTATGTACAAACATGTAATCATTTTTTTACCTATTTTGTAGTATGCCATGACATCCCTACATTTGGCAAGTCAAGAAGGAAATAATGACGTGGTAGAGATTCTGATAAATGCATCTGTTGATATAAATGCAAAAGCCAAGGTAATCATATAATTCCGTGTATGACAATTATGAGATATGTATATAACTATTAATTTTTAGATAAAGCTATAAATTATCTTACTTATTTTTAGGATGACTGGACAGCACTTCATTTGGCTAGTGAAAACGGCAATGTTACTACTGTGAGTACATTACTTGCTGCAGGAGTAAAAGCGGATCTACAAACAAAGGTACAATAGTTTAAGATGATTTGTTAACAATGTACTAGATCATAAGTGGCTGCACATTAAGATGTGCAGTTTTATTGTGTGCAGGAATCCCCATGTGGTGTATGTTCTCTTTTTCCGATTTTCTCCGGCATTTGGGCACATGTTAATTTATAATGGGATTATTGTTTACATATTTTGTAGCATGGTGGAACAGCTCTGCATTTTGCATGTCAAAATGGTGATGCCAGTGTTGTTGGGACACTATTAGAAGCATCCGTTGATACAACTATTGAAACCAAGGTAATAATAGATGTGTTTACTTTGTTTGGTTGACTGTATTTAGTGTATGGCAAAATGAATTGTATATTACGCGTCTATTCATTTATATTACAGGATGGTTGGACAGCTTTTCATTTAGCTTGTGGAAATGGACATGTGAATGTGGTGAGAATGTTATTGGATGCATTAGTAGACAAGAATGTACAAACAAAGGTAATTTTAAGTCAAAATTAGGCAAATAGAATACAATACCACGTTGATCACGTTGCAATATAATTGATTGATTGATTATGTTATTTGCAGGAAGGTTCATCGGCACTGCATTTGGCTTGTCGAAATGAGCATGTTGGTGTGGTAAATGTGTTACTAGCAGCATCAGTTGAGAAGAATGTTGTAAACAAGGTAACTGTCGAACATTTTTATATATATTAAATGCCATATGTCACTCACACACCCACTCACTCATTTATACAATCCAATAATAACCATTAGAATATTTTAGTTTTGAATTTTAATTTGCTGTAATTTGGCTAATATAGCAAGTGTATGGAAACATACACTGAATGGAAGTTCACAGACTTTCTCCCCAAGCATCTGCCTTGACTGTGGTATTTGCCATTAAATGTGTTAAATGTTTCATACAAAAAAATAATTATAACTAGATTGATTTAATGAACTTTCAGTAATCAATATTTTCAATGTGTCATGTTTCATATATTCAGAAAAAATATTATTTATTCAATGTCATGCTGTAGGATGGCTGGACAGCTCTCCATATAGCAAGTAGATGTGGAAATCGTGGTTTGGTTAATATGCTTCTAGGCGAATTAGTTGAAAAGGATAAACAAACACAGGTGATTTTGGTTGTTCCTGTTATGTTGGAAATCATGTACTTTACTTAGTATACATAAATAATCCATTTAATTTAATGTGTCGCTATGTATATAACTGCTTAAACTAATATAATCATAAAGAAATTGTCAATATATTAGCATGCCCTATTAACATGTTATTTTTTTATGTGCAGGATGGTTGGACAGCTCTTCATTTAGCAAGTCAAAATGGTCATACGGGCGTAGTTGCAACGTTACTAAATTATTCTGTGGAACTTCAGTTCAAGACTAAGGTATTGATCATTCAGATAGTCGCTAATATGTGTAATGTGCACATTTTAGATGGTGTTATTCTACTCAACCTGTTGGTACAGACTGGAAAGCAATTACCCATTCCAGTTGGTATTGACTAATTCAATGGAAGCTGTTTCAGCTGGCACATTTTAACATTTATTTTTCAGAAAGGATGGACAGCCTTACACCTAGCAGCTGACAGAGGATTTATTGATATAATACAATTGTTAATACAGAAGAATGTTGACACAGATGCACATGACATGGTACTATAATAATTTGTTTTCTCTGTAATGATACTAACTCATATAATTATAGTTATTCAGATTAATTATCGTTTTATTTTTGTTTTTAAAATATAACATATGTGTATTTCAACATTACGACAAAGGATTGTGTTCATCATACCCAAGATTGTTTTACTTCATTGGAAAACTAGAAATTGTCTACTTATTGGCTGGTTTATGTTAGTTATTCAGTGAAGCAAATGATAGCTGACAAAGTAAACTAATGGGGTTAATAGAGTTAATGCGATATTAATATATATTATATAACCTTTAACTGAATTTATAACAGAATGGATGGACCGCACTCCACTATGCATCTGCTAATGGCTATCCCGATATAGTATCTATACTTGTAAATAAAATGACCGATAAGGATGCCAAAGACATTGTAAGTATTCACTTTTTAATTAGGGAATAAAAGACGATGCACTGCCCATTATTGCTTGTTATGAATCACCAGTATTAGAATTGAGTGTTTTATAACGTTATAGCTTTACATTATCGCACGATATTAACTGATACGCACGATAATGTAAACCCTATTCAAAAGTAAGTTCATTGTTTAATTATGTTAGTGCTGATTTATAGCATCAATAACGAATTCCCATACAGTGTACGCCATATTGGATTCGGAGAAGGATATAGACGCGATAATGTATTCGGCTTCGGCTCACATAACTTGCCATAGACCTATTTCCTCAATAATATAGTGCTAAGAGGGTTTTATAATGTTGTAAATAGCAGGTTACGTGTGTAATAATAAACAAATGATTTGTTAATTTATGATGGGTCCGTTGTACAAAGTATTCGTACAATGAGGGAACACACTGCATCTGTTGATGTTTCGCACTGTATTACTTAATGCTACATTGTTTATTAAATTTATTTATTATTGTTATTTTAGAACAATCAAACCGCTTTGCATCTGGCAGCTGAGAATGGGCATGTGAATGTGCTTGAAATATTATTAAAAGCAGGGCTTGTGAAGTCTGCAGTTGACAAGGTACTGAATATTTCAACGCGTATCATTAAAGTATAGCGTGCCATAATTCATTTCAAATATGAAAAGATGACCGACATGTTTGAAGGTTACCAGCGAGAAACGTCTACCTATCTTCGGGGCTTCACACGCCAAGCATTTAGGCGAGGAAGATGTATATTACAATAGTTATTGAGAGGATACCGTATATTACGCACTCAGGCAGTATACAGTCACATCGGACCTCTGCTACGCATTGTACTGTACTCTCCCTGTAATGCATAAAATATGTATACTATATCATATTATAGTGAGTATATTTTGTTGGAATATATGTATATATTTAAATATATGTATTCATATATTCATAGGATAACAAGAATCCGCTGGATTTAGCCGTGGATGCTGGTCATAATAGCATTGCTGTTTTACATCAAGGCACAGGAAGACCTGACCAAAAGGTACACATCTACAGAATATTTAATCATTTATTTTGTTTATTTCTCGAGTACTTTCACATTTTAATTACACACAGAAGAGGTGCCACTGAGACATTGTACCCTACTTTCATTGGCTACTTGACATATATATATATATATATATATATATATATATATATATAAATATCCTTTTAATGTGTCAATGTAACTTTTATACTTATTTTATTATTCAAAAGTTATTCACAACCAGTAATTATGTTCAATATGAGAATGTGATGCTTTTAAATATTTAATCTATACAGGGAGATGATACTGTTTCCATGCCATCAGCTGTTGGTGAAGTTAACAGAAATGTTTCACCCAGAATACCATTCAATGAGATTTTACAAGAAATAATTCCATGTCTGCCAGTATATCTCCAAGACAGACCCCGTAACAAAGAAATTCCAGATGTGTATAATATACTACAAACGTACGGCAGTAAATTCCCATTTACTGGATCAAATGCAAATACAATACAATTTGTATGCTAACAAACTATTCAGGCTGACTAAGGATCTTTGTGCAGATTACTCACAAATGATTGTTATGTCATTGTGTACATTCTAGAGGTTAGGTTAAGAGAAATGTTGTTGAATTTGTTTCATTTTGACTTAGATTGATTGACAGTATTCAAACATAAAATAGGGAATGACAACTTTTTTTTGTAAATCCAATTGTACATTTATGTTAAAGGAAGTAGTTCAGTCCTGTTTCAAAGAATAATATACACAAATGAAAGAATTCAGTAGTTGCATGATAACTATGATTTGAAATTTGAAAAAAATTTAAAAGTAAGTTTCCGACTATGGATTGATGAGTTTTATCAATGAAATTATGGCTGAATGATTTTAGAATAACTTTTCAATAACATAGTGCTGACTTAATTGAATTATTGGATTACTAGTTATAGCTTGGTCACTGGGACATGGGTTGTATTTATTCTAGATTACATTACATAAATTTTACTGTACAATAATTCAATATATGGATTAGATCAACGTTTAAGTGTTGGAATAAAGCAGCATTTTGTCTGAGCATTTTCCCAATGGGTCAGTAAATACCATGATTATATTAGATCCAATGGTTTGGAATAGGCAACATATATTTGATTGGTGATTTGATTTGATTTGATTTGATTTGATTTTGTTGCTGATGTGATATACATCTATCGTTGTTAAATACAATAAGATATAAAATTATTAATCATACATGGATTGTATGATAAACTAAAAATCTGTCCCTGTATAAGACAACCAATCAAATAATCTGTAGTAGCTAAATGACAATGTGTATATTGTTGCTTGTCTTGCTGTTCTTATTATGATTCTTTAGTTCTTTTTACTGTAGTACAAGATTAATAATCCGATCAATTGGATTGGTCGTGACTTTTAACATAATTCATGTCGGGAAATTTGTGTGAAAGTAGCTGTTTTCGCTAATAATAAGATTTAATTTTCTTTCTTTTTTCCACATTCCTAAAGATAATGTAGATATATTAGACAAGAGTATGGTTTTATTAGTTATCAGCTAATGTGTTTTGACTTTACTGTGATCATATCTTAGGAAACAATTAAATATATATAAATATACCTTTAAAGTGTATTTTTTATTTATAAGGTATGCGTACAACTGTGTGTGTCGACATGGACGAATGTTTAATGTTTAAGTGTTATGCATTACTAAGTGAATCACAAACTGACGGAGATATCGGTGTGCAGCGGAGTTTACATAAGATGTACAGCAGAATGTGTGCAGATATTGTGCGATACAGTTGTTGATAATGAGCAGGAACTGTGTGTATCGTGGTCTGGTAACATATATACTTATATTAGTTATCATAATTACGAAATGGGTTTGATCACTCAATTCATGCCATACTGGGATAAATAAATATTACGTCTACTTGAAAAAAGTTATATGGCATGCTCACCCACTTGAATGTCAGGTACTGGAAGAGCGATGGTGCCACTTGGCCAAGTTAGTTCTGCCCAGACAGATGAATTTACTGGTGGAATGGAAGTATATAATTCTCTAGAGAGAAACTAATGTACCAGCACTTTACTTCACGGCAAGGTGATAGGTGTATAATGCTCAAAAATGTATAATGTCTTCATTAGCAAGATTGTCATACAGCCCTGTCACTTTGCTTGAAAATAGTTGCAGCAGCTTAAGACTTAAATTGAATTGAGAACTTGAAATTTGCATATTGATAACGTAAAGATGAAAAACTTTTGGCACCACAGACATGGCCCTGTGTGGACTTGCAAGCAATTGAAAGTCATGGATCGATCAAATTTTTAGCATTGGCTGACCTCATGAACTCTGCATTACCATAGCCGAATCCACAACCAGCCAACAACATGGCTGTCATAATTCTATGTCTAGAATAAAATTCATATATTGATTTACATATACAGCATACAAAATTTACATATTTGTTACATATTATTATGTAATAATAACTCAACACCAAGAAAGTATAACAGTTGAATGCTGAGCTAGTGGTAAAGCTTTTTGTCGTGTTGGCGTGTTCAAATCTGGATGTGAAAAATATATTCAGGTGTCGTAACATTAAGATTCAATGCAACTACAAAATCATAACAGTCAAACTAATCAGAGAGTTGCTTGTTTGTATGTCGGCATGTTATTTCGGCGTGGCAAGTTTTTCCTCTTACATAGGCTTAGACTCTGTACATTCGAACACTTTTCGCAGTTTAGATCACGCATGGTAATACGTTTTATACGTTGTTCTATTTCTCAGAAATTAATGGTTTACACACTAAGAGTTACTATAAACGAAATAATTTCAGCAATCAAGTTAAGACAGTTTCTCAATAATTAGACTGATATTGACCAGATATTAACAAATATTATTCGGATCATCATTCCTTATGACGACAAATCACATATGACTTGTCAAAATTATATTTGTATTATTTGTACAGTTATCGGGACTAATTCACTTTTATGACAGAAAATGACAGAAAAAATAATACAAGTACTGTTGGTGCTTAAAAAATTCCAAATATACAAAATAAAAAGAACACTTAGCAACACATACAAATAAAATAATTTAAAAACTACAAAAATGTGCTCAGGTTAGTTACCTTGATAAAATGTGTTGTTTCAAATTAGTTAAACAACCGTTGAGTGTCAATAAAAAAATGTTGACACAAATCAAGTTCATTACATATACGAGGAAATACGTGAGTAGCAGAACAATGTAACTGAGTCTTATCTGCAGATGGGAGGACATACAGACATACAGTTATTCACAGAACACATTTTCCATAACTACATCTAAGTAAAAGACATTGAATTGATCTTAGTCACAGGGTGACAGGCCGATTGGGAAATATAGTCGCTACTTTGACTACAGAAAAGGCAACGAGAAACTCGTTTCAAAAAGCTAGCAAATAATTCAACCATAAATTTGGTGTCGGTAATGCCAGTCTTGCAGGTGCAGATACACAACAAAGGCAATGACTGCCTATACCACCTCTGAGAATGTGTGTAATACTACATGCTGTGCACAGACCGAAAGGAAAGTCAGTAACTGCAAACAGACGAGTTGTCTAGATGTACTGGCACTGGCACTTGGGGTTGATCGTTATCCATTTCCCGCATATATGATTGGTAGGGTAGCACGGTCTCATCAGGTCTTCTATCTTGTCCTCCACAGAATGGCTGTTCTGCTATTGTCACCTCTGAGTCACAATTAGCATTCAGTGCTCTGCTAAATTTGGTTTACAGTCACGTGTGACTCGGTCTCCAATGCATCCTGTATTGCCTGGTCAAAGGTTTTTGGATTTGCTCTAAATAAACCATCACTTATTTCCTTCCCAGGGATTGTATTTTTATAATACTGCCTGCCCAGCCTTTCTTGGGAAGCAGGGTTCATAACTGGGTAGGCCATCTCTGTTAATCCATGTATAGTGTCAGCCAATTCCTGCTAACTCACGTCATCCTTGCACTGCATAATCCGTAGTTCTGCTGCATAGTATCTGCTTGTCCACCAGAACCAAATCTCCCGTTCAATCGTGTGACTAACTTTTGATATTTTGGTATTTTTCCACCATTACTTCTTGGGTCAGCACTTTCTGCACTAAACTCACTGCCAAATACTTGGACTTATGTGACAGATCCCAATTATTTACACATTGTAAATCCTAATTAAGTACAAAGTATGCTTTGTAGTTTCCCCATGACGTTTTTTCGGGATGGTATAAGGCTTTGTTACTGGATACATCCCTTCTGATGAAAAGCCTCATTTCCTATCAGTGCTTTTCTCTCTACAGCTTTAGTATGGCAAGCTGCTTCCTGAGCAAACTCTTTTTCTGCTAATGTACCAAACAAATTTCTGGTCATCTTTTTGCTCTGTTCAGTCTAGATACTTTTTACTGGAGTCTGCTCTGCAATTTCGAGATCTGCAACTCGAGTCGCCATGATCTGCATTCTCTGGTTCACCTTCTCTGCACCAGTTGTATCTCACCGCTGTCACCAATGTGACGCATAATACGGAGTGGGGCCTTTGTTGGGCTATTCTGTATTCAGGTGCTGGAAGCTTATTTTAAATACAGGTCTAATAACAGACGTCTCTGATAGCATGCTTATCTTATAAGTCTTCAGCTCGGCTGCTGTCACGGGGTGGGGAACGTTCGGTGAATGTATACTGAGGCAGGGCAGGGAAGGATATTGGTAACAAATACAATAAATCAAAACAACAAAATATATAAGGTTTCCTTCACTTTAATAAATAAATTGTGTGGGGTGCTAGTCACTGGAACCAGCAAAGGGGACTTAGGACTTAATCAATGCTGCAAGGAACACTCCACTCCCCGGTGAACAGTAATGTACAATTTGCGTTCCTTCGTATCTGGCACACTGTCAAAACAGCTTCACTACAATTTAGACTCGAGTTCTGTTTCCAGGGAATATCGGCAACTGCACTGATATCTGCTGCTACTACTACTACTACAGGTGTGCGCACGTGTTTTTGCGGAGCTCCTGGTTTTTGGTGGTGGTGAGCTAATTCTGGTCTTTGTAGGTGCTTTATTTTGTAAATTATTTGATATATCGGTTTGTAAATATCCAGTGTCATTCATTGT